ATTTCTGTATTATTCAGTTCATACCCGTACATACCATTGCTGTATTATTCAGTTCATACCCGTACATACCATTTCTGTATTATTCAGTTCATACCCGTACATACCATTTCTGTATTATTCAGTTCATACCCGTACATACCATTGCTGTATTATTCAGTTCATACCCGTACATACCATTTCTGTATTATTCAGTTCATACCCGTACATACCATTTCTGTACTATTCAGTTCATACCCGTACATACCATTGCTGTATTATTCAATTCATACCCGTACATACTATTGCTGTATTATTCAGTTCATACCGTACATACCATTTCTGTATTATTCAGTTCATACCTGTACATACCATATACCCATGACTCTCGGGGTAGAACATTTTTTATTTACTTAATTAAAACAGGATAATGAGAAATTTATAACTTTCTTGAAATACCACTGTGTAATATTTCCATGTTTTTGTTCATTTTGATCAAGGCCAAAAAGCAAAGAACTTATAAGAAAAAATGGCAACAATATTATACAATTTTTGGGTGAAAATATTAACTTGTGTGAGGATTGTTAAAATCACACAGTATAACATCTATTACATGTTAGTTTCATAACTCCTAAATGGAACAGATTTTTGCAGAAAGATGTAATCTATGTATCAAAGATACAATTTGTTCCCAAGTAGAGAGGAGAACATTCCTACTGAACCTGAACAAATATCCAGCATAAATTAGGATATCAAGTAATATGATGTACCTGTTCTGGTCATACCGACAGCCAGACATTTGTGAAATCTACAATACTGACATAGTAACCTAGTTGCTGGAGTAATTTGACAATGCTTGTCTTGCACACAATAAAAACATGGGTCACCTTTCTTGGTACTTCTGATAAAAAAACTCTGTAAAGTAAAAAAAAAATATATTCATATACTAATACAGTTGATACGAAAACAGGATCTGATTACTCATCAAACTGTGTTCAAAACCACATACTAGTAGTTGACAGTACATTCAGTATATATGCACAAATCAAAAAATAAGCTGACTACAATAGTTTTGACTTCCATTATATCAGAGATCATACCTACTTGGACAGGTTGTATGTAAGGTGCCAGCTTACATCAGTAACTGACCTGACTTTTTAGCATCTGACAGATATGAAAAAGGCGGCTTACCTTACAGGCTTCACATACTATTGCACCAAAGTATTTGCCAGCTGCCTTGTCACTGCATACCACACATACTACATCCATGGTTGTACTGCTAACCTCAGCTACACCATCATCTGCCTTTGATGGAACAACAGAAGTCATCATTTAAATACTACAGTTACCTATATGTTAAATAGAAATAATTTTATTTTAGCAAGAATCCTGGAAATTGTGTATACCAGGTACTCGTACATTTTCACCAGCTGTGGTTCATGCAAAACAAAGTGATATTACTGTCACAGTAATACTTTGCAAAGTATGAACATTATCATTTCTACCCAAAATGATGACATAATTAACTAAAAATAGATAAGAAGATTGATGTTTTTGAAGTGTATTTTAAATTAGGTATAATGGGTTGGAATGCATATCAATCATACAGTCAAAAAAGCCTAACAAATTTGGTCCAAAAATGTTCTCCATATCTCCTGGTATTTTCACAAGGGACATACATAAGTTTTTTTTTATTTAATGTACTGTGATGTAGTAAATGATTGAAAACTAACTTAGACATCATCACATTTATAATTATGTTCTCACAAAATCCCAAGGAAAATATAAAATAAAAATCCCTGTCCAATATTTCTTTTAGGCTGTTACTGGAACACAAAAATTGTTTTATTTGGCTTTACTCACAAAATCTCTAAATAAATGTCACTTTAAGAAATAGGAAATAAACATTTGAGAATACCCCATATTTGAAAAGAAATTTGTTTTATTCACTATAACCATCATTTCTTTGAATTTACAAATGAAGAAACTCAGAACAAAAGTAACCATCATCTGAACCAAACTTAAATAACCGCTATAAATTTGACAACAACAAGATTCAGGTTAGCAGTGATTTAATAGACATACTTGGAACAATAATTTTGGATGTAATAATAATAATAATAATAATAATAACCTTTATTAATGTCATATCCACTCTGGGATCTTGACCATAATACAAAAAAAAAAAAAATAAGGAATAATAAAATAAAATAGTAATAGTATGAAAATACTTGTATAAAACAGGGAATAAAAAATACCATATAATTATTTTTTATACTATTTTGAGGCAGCTGGTAAATTGCTTTTCATGAAATTCTCTCTTTCAGTAAAACAGTCACTGATGAATTTGGCAATTGCTTGGACAGATTTTCAATTTTTGTTATTGAGAAATGCTTTCAGATTTAAGTTTTCAAAGAAAGCATCTCATTCAGTGTTGTACAGAATACAATTTCATTGGAGTTACAAACAGGGCATTTCTATTAGAGACATCTATGTAAATCACCACAGTGACAACAAATCTGAGATAACAGTCAAGGAACAGCGGCGGTGGCATGGGAGGGGGCAGAGGGGGCGGTTGCCCACCCGAAAAAAATGTTGGGGGCATCGCTCCCCTAAATCAAACTGAAAACCTTTGTGTCAGCAAAATATGCCCCTAAAAATGCAGGAAATAGCTTTTCAGAGGGTCTAGATTTCAGATCTCGCCCCCCTCATGCACAATTTCATTGTGCCGCTTCTGAGGAAGGAAGTTCCTTTCCTAATAATTTATATATAATGTATATAACTGGCATACTTATAATATAAACCTACTTTCTTAACTGATCATCAAATGAAAAAAACTAGAACAATGGATTCATAAATGGACTGCACAAGTCGGGGGTATAGGATATACGACTGGAGTATAAAACAAAAAATGGCTCGGGTCATAGGTACACAGAATGCTACACGTCCCTGGGCGAGGTATTTTTGGCACAGCCACAATAGTTTTACAGACAATAAGAAAGGTCAATGTTATTGTTAAGATCTCTATTTTGAGGGATTTTTAACGAACACACAATTGAATCGCATAAAATACTATCTTACCACTATCCGTATTCGACTTACACGTTCGCAAATATACGGCTCATTTAAATCGAATTACGTAAACACAGCAACTTTGGTGTGGGAGCCTGGTCAACTCGATCACAACTCGATTAATCATCGAGTTCGACGAAGATGTCGAGAAAACAGTACACTGCACTAGGCAGAACATTAGGTTGTTGTGAGGAGAACGAGTTGTTTTTGTCAGCATACAAGCGAATGAAAATAACCCGACGTCATAAAGCGCGTCAACATGTGCTAATAATCAAATTACAGCAAGCAAACAAAGTCCACCAAAACGATGCCACGAAATAAACATCATTAGGGTCATACGTAAATAACATGGCGGGATATGACGGCAATGATAATGAGGTCAGTTAAGGTCAGTCAATAACATTAGCCATTTTAGAACTACTGATGGCGCTATATACTAGGTGTATTCTAGTAATTTGTATTTCTCACTCAACTCAATCCGACATTTGAACAAAACACATTAATTCATTCTTTTGAAAAAATACCTAACGTAAAATAAAAAGCAGTTGAGGAGTAAATTACATTGGATGTATGTTTAGGAAATAGCATGTAAACGTCGCGGAAATCATCGATGGGCCGGCGTTGCACTGTCGACGCGTGAATTCGGCGCATTTACATTTCTGAAATAATTTTGCGCCAAATCACGCGTGGCACTGCACTGGTAAAGTTTACTTGGTACTGGACATTCTAGAATAGTGGTTGTTATGCAGATCATGGTCAATCGGTTCATTCTGCACCACTCTGCCCCCCCCCCACCACGCATGACACTCTAGTCAGTGTCTAGTACTCTAGTACTTATGGCTTGTTCAAGTTTATTTTACATGAGATGGGGGTAACCGATTTATTACAGGAAACGTCAAAGAAACATAATGTAGGTCGATGATTCCCTGCTTGTAATAATATAATCATTAGACTTAGCGAGGATCGAAACACGAACAATTCTAAGAAGAAGTGACAGTACATGAAAAGAAAATTCTGAAATTATGCAATATGAATATTTATAAACATTATTTAGGCATTCATAGTATATAGTGTCAGTGTATGTTTAATATTTACACTTAAACAAATCACAAATTTCATCTGCACTCTTTGCTACTTTGCAATAAGGTAATGAGCTGATACGTGTAGTCTTATTTACAACGTACACATGACATATATACTACTCTGAGTCAAAAAAATCTGTGTTTAAAAAAAAGGGCTAACAATATTTTTGTTCAGTTTCCCAACTGACTACCTTTTAACAGATTATTTCTGCCACAATCATGCATTTAATACATGTATATTAGTTTTTGTTCATCAACTACGCAGAGGAAATATTAAATACAAATATTCGTATGTATGGAACATGGCTAATTTGCATAAAATAAAATAAAAAAGACTAATTTATATAAAATAAAAGTTTCGCGAAAACATGGCTGGGAAGGGTTCTCGGAAACGCAATTAATTTATTCTCCGTTTGGGGTTTACATTGATTCCATTGTCATGTAAATGTATAGGTGTCACTAATGGACACCTCACCTTGGCGGCAGTTGGCTGTGTAAAACAACCAATTCATGCTCTGTACGCAGCGATGGTTATTCTCATACTGCTGGTATTTTCACAGCAAATCAAGTATGTATTAACAGTACTTGTAGTACATCTTTACGTGAGATTCTGTCCAGTAAAGCAGCAAAAATGGGAGAAATTTGGCAGCCGATTTACACTTACATGCGTCCATAAAAGCCCTCTATCGTTTATCTATCGTGTACAAGAAACCAAATGCCCAAATGAGATTCAGTTGTCGGGCTCCAGAGATTATTAGATAAACTAGAATTGAATTGTGAGCGCTGGAGTATGTCTGTAAACTTTTCCTGTATAAGGCCAAAATTGATGTTTTCAAGGGCGGGGGACATTTATCAAGAAACGAAAAGTGAGTGATGGCGGTCCACACCGTTTCATACTACAAACTTTGAATATCTTGGAATTATGTTTTCCTGTATATTCCACTGGTCAATGGCAACAAAACTATTGGCACAGCAAGCGAAAAAAAACTCTGAATTGTTAATGCATTCTATCGTACAGAGCCTACTTTAAGGTGTTTGATACAATGATACTACCAATACTAACCTATAGACGGAAATCTGGGGTTTTAGAGAGTGTAAATATCTGGAACGAGTCCAATATTATGCTTATACATTGTTTCTTGGTGTTTCTAATAGATCACCAAATAGAAGTATTCTAGGAGGATGTGGGAGATATCCTATCTATCTATACTCAGCGAAACGCTGCATTAAATATTGGGCAAAATTAATTTCCATGTAAAATTCAAGGTACCCCAAGAAATGTTGCAATACAATATCAAAAGGTCGGGAACCAGAACAAACACACCTAAATCAGTGACATTCTTTGCATGCACAATAAATTGGAAATGTTAATGTGTTTATAAATACATTTGTGGAACGATTCAAATAGTATCGTTCCTTGGTATGGCGGGCTGACTCGTGTACTTTAGACAAGTTAGACACTTACTGTCAATTTAAAATTACCATAGAACTAGAAAGAAAGTTTTCTGTTCATATTCGAACATAAAAAAACAGAGAAAGAGGCCAGCGTACGTGCGAGCTTTGCAATATGAATTCTATTGAAAACGAGTTTCATTTTTTATTAGTTTGTAATTTTTATAATCACATTAGATATCACTATATCCAACATTACTGCACCCCACCAATTGTAAATAAATTTCTTGAATTACTCAAAACTCAAAATTATGTATTTCTATAGTGTTTAGCTGAGTTTGTATTCAATGCAATACAACTTAGGAGGAAAGCTGCCGAAATATTGTAAATAGTTTAAATGTTTTGTTTTGGGCCGATGGCCATGTATCAGTTAATAAAGATCCAATCATCTCTGTAAGCGATGTGCGCATGAGCAATTGAATTAGTTTTCAAGTTGTCAGTGAGCGACTAAATAATTTGATACTTGTTTATATTAAGATCTAGCCTCTATAATTGAGACAGAATACAAATTGGGCTATAACGATGTGAACTGCGTTCGAGTCGTCAATGTTGTATGAAGACACATAGTATGTGTAACATGATCAACACATACATGGCAAAGAAGAAGAGGAGGCCAAGCCTGAAGGATTGAACCCTGTTGTACACCGAAAGTCACGTAACACCACAAAGATGAATTCATATGGGTGCGCTTCTTATAAAAAAAATAAAGTTGGCTAAAATGAATTGAATTCAAGTAATTTGGAGTCAAGATCTGAGATTTTTTAATGGCCTGCAATGAACATAAAGCAAAGTAAATAAATAAAGCAAAGTAATGTTAAAACGACAAACTTTTCAAATCAACAATCTATTTCCGGACCTTAAATAAAACAGGAGCCATCAGGTTTAGTACAAGATAGAACGTCTAAGCCAGCTTTACTTAGTACTCAACACTACGATAATTTACAAGGTTCGCCATTGTTGTTGTCATGTGGAACTTATGTAAACAATGACTGTCCAGTTTGCGCGAACTTCAGTTGTCCGTCTATACTTATGCTTTTGAATCATATACGCTAAATTACGGTTCTGAATGAGACAACGGACAGAGAATGCTTTATTCAAAAACGTCATCAAACCCTTAGCTACCTTAAAACGATTCAATCCACCGTTTTTCAGACCTGAAACTTATTTTGAATTTATCTCCTTATAATGTACTAATATACCAGTAATCGACTTGTTAGGCTCAATTAAAGGTAAAATGAGTTATTGCTCAGAAAGCGGGTGTGGAGAAAGGCTCTTGTTATGTTAATTGTTGAATGGAATTGAAAACACCCATTCACTTCATATAGTTATATTTATAGTTATGTGAGGAATCGATCTATTATTGTGGATTTTCTTCCGGAATCTAGTTCGCTGTTACGTTTATCTTCTTTCCGCCTCGTCATAGTAAGAACATAACTGTATACAACAAAAATGTTTCGCAAAGAAAATGCATTTAAAGGCAATGTCCAGAATCCTAATAACATGAACAAACTAAACAAACAAACAAAGAAACAAGTCATTCACTATTGAATCTTCGATCAGTGCACACACCCCCACTAACTTTCCATAAAAGAACACATAATGTTATACACGGGCAACGCGATATGTTCATGGATACGGAGCAGACGAAAAGGTCACATACTACACAAACATAGGACAATTCTTTGTCACTCTGCCAGACAACTAAACTTTAGTCTTCAAATACACCCAAACTATAAAATTTTGCATTAAAATACTTAATCTGGATTTATTTTGCATTATGTCTGTTATATATTGTAGTAGTTTATGTTAAATGGTCGATGGAAGGCGATTTTATAGTGCCCTAGCCATTCATCATTTGGGAGTTTGTGCACAGTTAACTATAAATACCCATGATGCTCTGTTTCATTTTTATATTATGCCATTTTCTCTATTATGATATTTTTTATTGACACAGCACTGACTTTGTTAAGACAGCAGTGTGGTAACTAATAATATATCCATAATTATACTCCTACTATGAGGTGCTGTGTCTTGTTTTAAGGCACTGTTTAATAAATTGTAGCGTATTGAAATATATAGACTATGAACTGACAAGTTATAGAAATTATTTATGTGCTTGGTCATATATCCAACTATAGACTTTCTTCAGTTTGTTGTTCATACTTTGGACACGACATTAATAGATTATTAGACATTACTAACCTTGTTTTACTCCAGAATGCGATTGATATTCTTTTGTTAGTCTTCCATTTGTTTTTACTTTCTATGTAATATTACTGTAATGTGTTTTATTGTTTTATACGCATTTCCTGTAACCCCCTCAGGCTATTTTAATAGTTTTTGTATAAACCGTCATGCCAGACATTGTCAAGGTATTTCTAAGTATGCATAAAATCTGTTTGTTTCTTACCCTTCTGTTTTGAAGGTTTGTTATTTTCAACTTATTAAGGCTCGTTATGGTACAGATATTCATTCAAGTTAACCATTTTATTCAAGATAAATAGATTGTCTGATGTGCATTGGTTTTTACGAAAGCCAAATACGTATGCAATAAATCCGTTAATCTGACATTGAGTACACCTGTAAATAGCATACCGAAACAACTTGATATGGCGATTCCCCTATAAATGGATGTACTTCAAGATTTTGGAAGTTATTCGACGCACAGACATTGTTGTACAATGTCTGTCAGGTAAAACTGGCCAATTTTAAATATTTTGTTGCACATTTTATCTTCTGTCGAAGCTTTATCATTTTTCGGCGATTTATTGCATTCAAGATCTCACTTGCTGGTATCGATTTGTCACCAGGTTCATATTTGTATCGCATTTGTTTATTTCACTCGAAATATTTGAGTTTAAAAAAATATTGAAATATGAAAAACATTCGTTAGAATCAAGTGGGTGATATTAAGTAACTTCATTCAGTATTTTCCAAAACGCCGTAGGTTCACCTTTATAATTTTCGAGGTTTATTTTTTTTGTTCGTTTAATTGTTTTCTTATTTTTTTTAAACTTGAAGAAGTTACTACGAATACGCGTATCGTCTGGGTGTTTTTTTATTAGGTTTGTCATGTATTTGAATTCTTTACGAAAGACCTAACAGTCTTGGTCAAAACCAATTTTTCTTCCTGTTTATTTTAGTATTAATTTGTACTTCATGAACACTATAATGCGAATATTTTTTAATTTAGAATAGCTGTAAAAATATTCCCCCACTACTGCATGTGTACAGAAGGGTGTTGGTTGGTTCAATACGTTCTGGGTGCGTGCTCATTGAACTCCATACGTGTAGCTAGCTGACTTGGCAATGACTTTCTCTCTATGTTTTACATTTTTACTCTTACATCTTAGTAGTAGAACCTTAGTCCCTCTATGATTGACCGGCTACATTACTGAAATTTCAGTGTATAATGTTAGAGAGAAAACATTTTAAACCGATAACCAACAGGTCCAGCAAATGGAGCTGTTCATCGGAAAAGCTGTTCTAATGGATTTTTGTTGAGGGCAGGAGATTTTTTTCTTTTTTTGTAGGGGCGGGAAATATCAGTGGGCAGGGCAGATTTCTAAAAAAACATGCAAGGACAGGGAAACTTTTTTTTAGTGGGTAGGGTATTTACATAAACAAATATCGCAGAGCGGTTAATGTATTCAAGAAGCCCATAGAAGCCAATGAGAGGAGGAGGCAAACAAGTGTTTGTTTTTTAATGAGGGGAGGGGAAAAATGAATTTGGTCAGCAGGAGAACAAGAAAGGCAAGTTGGCGGTAGGGGAGTAGGCAAAAAAGTGTTTGTTTTTTTAATGAGGGCAGGGGAAAGATGAGTTTGGTCAACAGGAGAACAAGAAAGGCAAGTTGGCGGTAGGGGAGTAGGGAAAAAAGTGTTGTTTTTTTTTAATGAGGACAGGGGAAAGATGAGTTTGGTCAACAGGAGGGGAAGACAATTTGTTTTCAGGTGGAGGGTAGCTTATGAACAGCTTTTAATTTCCCCTCTTTCCTTTATATTAACTAGCCTGTAACATAAATGTTGTCCCAGAGAATTTACTATTTCAATTTATTGCTCGTTAGCTGCACCTGAACCAAACGAACGACTCCTTCGAAACAGCGCCACTAACGACTTGTAAAGTGCAAAGCGTAATTTCAACGTCACTTCCGCTAAACCCTGACTTATACATGGCGGTTTCCTTCAAAATTGTGTTAGTAGGTTTGAGAAGAAAAATAAATAGTTTTGACGAAGACGTATAAGATTCGACTAGATTGGTAAACGGACATCTTTTAGGTGAATACATTCAAGAACACACAGTTATATGATTCGTTCGACTCGGTACATTGAATGAACGAGTTCACAGCTGGAGCAAGTTGAGTCAAGTTTTTGTAGACTGTCAGACTCACAACATCACAATCCTTGGAAGGGTACGACGTAAGCTGATCTTGTGAGTTTGCGATCTCAGTTTGTATTTTGTAGTATTTTTTTCTGATCGAGTGCATGTTAACGTAACTTTTTTGTATCCCGGGATATTGTCGTGTTTCGGCGTGAATCGACCAAAGGAGTGTGTGTCTCCAGGGATCTCTCCGTCCGTTGAATCGTTAACAACTTTGCAGAGAAAACCGATATTAATTGGGATTTAGAGTTCGAACAAACCATGGCTCACGAAGAAGGTAACAGTGTAATCTCTTCAACATGCGTTTTTCGTGGTATGGAATACATTGTCAGTATGCATGTGTCAGATGCATCAACGTTGACTGTGGAAGTTGAGGATAGACTCAGTGCTGACCAGTGGAGAGGAACGTTTGACGCATCCTGTAAGTAAAGTCAATTTCACGACAATTTTAAAATTTTCGAATACTTTATCTGTGTCTACAATAAACATTTATCGGCATTTTATGTAAATCTTGTGGAAGAATCATTCACTGAATTGCGTTGTCGCCGTTAGGATCTAGGTCAGTGATTGAGTGCCAGTATTCAAACGTGATGTGTCGTGTATGTGTTTACTGGGTTTGAATTTATTTCTGAGACGATAAATAATAATAATAATACATCCTAATATTGAATATACGAATATGAAATGATGAAGAACACTTTTCAAAACCAATAAAAATATTTAACTTTAATTTCAATTTTGTAGATGGTTGTGATTAACTGTCACATGTTTTGAAGTTGTGAGCATGTTGTGACACGATGTCTTCCATTTTGTAGCATTATTACATGTGAAATAAACTACCAGTAGTAAATATAATTATTGAGAAATCACAGTTTTATTAATTGTGGCAGCGTAACAATATCATTGGCAGGTAGTTGCCATACAGATGTATTTTCTAATAATGACCATTTCCCTGTGTAATCAATTCCTCTTACAGATATTGAAGACCTAACCCATAAAACTGGTAATTTTAAGCAGTATAGCATATTTGTTAGTATGTTAGAAACTGCTGTCACAAAGGTGAGTGTACTATAAATTGTTAATGGTGTAGTCAATGCTGTAATATTTAGATCAAGTATATTGGTGCCTGCATCCTAAAATATAATTGTAGATAGGGAAAAATAGAAAACTTTCTCGATCTCCAACTTATCAAGCGCTACTTTATTGATGAAAAAAAAACCATTAATGTAATCAATTTAGGCCTGTGTGAACTCCAGTTAGAGGGGGGGGGGGCAAGGGGGGTGGCTGGTACAGTTTTACGAGAAATAAAAAGGGCTTTTTACAATTTACAAGAAAAAAAAGACGTTTTTACAGTTTACAATGAAAATTGAATTTTGCAGTGAATTGTGTCATCTAGTCGTTTTACAGTTTCAAAAATGTAATTTCCCTGGATAATTCTTTACATTTTTTATTTGGATGTAAATTCTTGTACGTACCGAGAAAAATTACACATTTTTACAGTGTACGAAAAAAATATTTGATTGATTACGTTGTACGTCTAGCCTGTGATTACAGAATTATGGAATTTAGTTAGGCCCTTAGTAAGTTAGGCCCTTAGCATGCCAGTACCAGTATACCAGTACAGTTGAATGGATACCAATGAAGACTTTGCATATTTGTTGCAAGTGGGGAAAAGTGAATAGTCCCTCTGTGTCATGTGTTGGGTGCTGTAATTCATTTGAGTGTTATTTCTAGTCTATGTATTCCCTAATATAGGACATTGGTTGTACTTTGATAACATTGGGCTATTTTTATTACTGTTTGTAAATTGTTTCTGGTTTAGTGATCATGAATTTATAATATTCAAGAACTTTTTTTTTCAATAGTAGCAGCTGTGAAAATACTTTATGCAGCCACCTACTAACAATCCCAATATAGAGATACAAGTTTCAATTATCTTTCTACTGTCACTACATATACTGTTATACACTTGCATTACTATATATGACAAGGCAATATAAATATTGATCAATATTAACATTTTGTGGTGTTAACTTTCAGACAAGTGATGCAGTCTCACTAGATTTATTAACCTATGCAGATCTAGAATTGCTAAGAAATCGTAAAGCTGGTGTTGGAACTAGAGCTATTCCTGGAGCCAAGTCAACAGCACTGAATACTAAAAGATATTTAATACTCACATACACAGTAGAGTTTGACAGGTACATATAATAATTCTTTTTTAATTATTATTGAATTGCTACCATGATATACTTCCTATAGGTGTCCCTGTATCTGTAATATTTGTTGTGCAAGGTGTACTAATTTTCAAGTCACCTGCTGACACTAATGCATGTTGAAAGAATCTGTAATATTTGTTGTACAAGGTGTACTAATTTTCAAGTCACCTGCTGACACTAATGCATGTTGAAAGAATCTGTAATATTTGTTGTGCAAGGTGTACTAATTTTCAAGTCACTTGCTGACACTAATGCATGTTGAAAGAAACATTTGCCCAGGTGGACCCAGTGTCAAAGATTTTGGCAGTGCATTTTTAAGACTCTTGTATATATCTTTGAATAATTAAACCATATGTGTACCATTGACAGGATACACTATCCACTACCTCTACCTTACATGGGTAAACCAGACCCAGTCTTATTACAAGAAACAGTAAGAACACTCAGGGAAGAAATTAAAAGGATAAGAAAACAAGTAAGTATTAAATTTCTAACTTGTAAGTTGTAAATGAACATTACAAATGTACGTTGGGTTCAGTAGTCTGGTTAGAACCATTGCATAAAACTAAATAATTTCTTTATTTATTTTCTAGAAGCATCCAGACTACAGAGAAGGAGAATTCACTAGGATTAAAAAAGAGTAGGTGTAAAATAACTAATAATTCTTATGTACAATTCATAATTGTTTGATGTTAAGAGACCGTTAATCGACTCAAGCAAGGAAAAAATGAAAGATTATGTCTCCAAATTCATTTCCATAGAAATAATTTGTTTTGTGATTTCTTGGATGCATCATTTGAACATACAACTAACCAGAATTCATAATTATTTTTCATAATTATTATTTTCAATATTATTTTGGGTTGTATTTCATAAAGAGGGTCTCAAGTAATTAACTTGTAAAATGTGCTACATGTTTGAAGTCTTCTTCACATGTGCTAAATATTTGTTATCAGTGGGGTTAAACCTGCTAGATCTGTTAACATGTTGCAGTTGTTTTCCCTTTACTTGATGTCAAGCCCTCTGACTTTGACCTAAGCTAATTCAGGTCATGGAAGGTACTAACTGAAGGAACCACGACGCTATTGTTTTAGCTTTACCCTGTAATCGTTTGTCAGTGTTTGTTCAAAAACATTGGTTCCCGTTAGCTCTTAGCACCTTCTTACAATGGATTACGCTAATCTTGAGCGTTCGGTAATATTTGGAGCATGCTCGGAAGCGATAGACGAACTGTACATAAATAAAATTGCGTTTAGTTTGAATGTTTTCGGTGATCTTGGTGAACTTTAATGAAGAATTGGCAGATATAACATCAATTGAAGAAGAACTGATGAGCCATCATGAATCTTTTTGTATTTATAATGGTGATGAGACTTTATAAGCAATGATTGCCTGTGACAATAACGATTGCATTATTCAATGGTACCATTGCCAGTGTGTGGGTTTGACGCCCGAAATTGTTTGAAATTTTTGACTACCGGGCATCGGCGAACAGCACCAGAAAGGATAGTATCAAAAGAAGGGCATGCCTAGACACTTTCTCTGTGATAATATTTTTTAGGAGTCCTTAGGAATTGTTCTTGTAGATGCTTGAAATCTTGTTCTTGTTACAGTTGCTAATAATTAAGACATGTGAAATCTGAGGTATGTATGGGTGCCTCAAAACAGTGTTTGCGAACAGTTGCGACTTGCCTAAGTGGTAGCAACAGTGCTTTGTGACCCGAGAAAAGGCATTTTGCGACTCGGTCGCAAAGCTCTCGTAGGACCATGCTGCTACCCAATCTCCTTCCCATAGGTCTTTGCGCTTTACGCAATAGTGTCTCTGCCACAGGCAGCCTTTAATTTTGTGGTCAATCACCTCACTACACACGGCCATTTTCCTGTAGCTGTTACATCTGAAAACGTACTACAAAAAGTGGGAAAAAAACGTATGTGACATCTGAACTATTTATTAATGTCAGACTTCAGTAAAAACGTAAATACGAACCATTTTTGCAAGGTAATGTTACTGTAGTGAAATGGCGCACGTGATACACTAAAACGTCCTGTTATCGTATATAGTTAGGAAAGAAACATTAAAGACTAATTTCACTGAAAAGAGTTTCCTAACATTTCCGTTTATCTTGTATTCTGGTGAATATTTCAATACTATTTCTGGCTTGAACGGGTTTGATTTCCCGCGTCTAGCAGCAATAGACCACAAAGGTTCTAGTAAGTTTATAAAGTTAGTCATTTATTGTACAATCTAATTCATCGGCATTTAGGAAAGGATTGTACTTTTCTAACGCAAGTCATGTATATTTAATAACTATTTAACTGAACTATTTTGCCAGAGTCGGGGCGTGAAACGTCTTATTAAAGTGATTAAAGTAACCAAGTGACTTTCGCATAACTGTGTGAACCGACTGGGACTTGTAGTTAGAACATATTCGAATATGCAAATGAGTTCTATCCAAAGCTGCTTTGTGCAGTGATGATAAGTAACGCGCATCGAACTGTAAGTTCGGCTGCTGTTCGGCTGATGATTCGATGGCCATTTATCATCTGTCACGTGGTGACACACTACATTCATTGAAATAAAACCTTTTCGTAAATAATTTTCCAAATTATCCAATCATCACAATGTCTAAACCTAACGCATTTACAGAGCAATAGTATCGTATGTGGAGGAGATCACTTTCCCGGCCAAGCGGTTCTATATAAAAGTCCAAAGATGCCCGGGTCAACGTCCCCTGGGATAAAACAAAGTGCTGCAGATGAAATAGCTTCCCAAATTAGTTTCACTTCGGGCTTTGGATTACTGTTTTGTTTTATTATTCTACTAATTTCGTAATAGTTATATTTAGACAGACATTGAATTAAAATTCTGATACATAAATGCGTACCAACAAGCCTAGTAGTAGGGGAAAATGAACAATACTGCAACAACCTTTTTTATTTTTTCGTATATAACGAGTATCTAAAATCACGATGTTCATAATTACTAGTCATGTGAGTAAAACCTGTCAAAATCGACCATGATAGGGACTGGTGAGGACAGCGATAATTTGTTTATATCCAGGGTCATACTGCCAGACACAACGCGATGCGTTGTTTTACATGGGACATTAGTGCAGTGTGAGATTTGTATATTTAAATAAAATGAACAGCAAGCCTGGAAAACAGAGCGTTAGTGTCAAATAAACAAAACAAAATGGCGATGACTCGCTGGTGTGGCAATGAAGCCAAACAAAGCTTCACTAAATATTGGAGAATGAACATTAGCCATAAAAAGAAAGTTTAACGCTGTCACAAAATGCTTTTTCTCAGGTCGCAAAGCACCTTTGCTACTACTTTGGCGAGTCGTAACTGCGGTCGCAAACGCTGTTTTGAGACACCCATACATAAATGGAAATCTGTGAAGTCAAACATTCATCTGTTGAATTTCCGGTTGTGAAATGCATATTTTGAGCATTCGCAATTCGTTACTTGTGTAAACAATCACAAACTATCATCGACATCAACGATGAGCTAGACAATGTCCATATCTGGATTAACTAGGGTTGAAACAAAAAAGAAATAAGCAAGTTAAGAGGCTTATTCCCAGTAAGTGGCCACCTGAGAGGTGTTGTGACTCCTTTCCTTAGTACTTTCCATGCTCAGGTCAAGTCCAGATTAATTAATCTGTTCACACATGGTTTTAAGTAATGGGTTATAATTAACACAAGGTTGAACCTTGTTTTTTTTAAACATGTGGGAACGTGTATCTGCAGTAAATTAATCTACTGTCTAACAATGAAGTGAAATGGTTTCTAGTGAATCAATGTATACTGATAAATGAATTGTTTGTATCCTGTATGAAATCATATGTGGCTAGTATAGGTTTCACACCACAATTAGCATTTGTATCAAGAAACAGGGTCACATAGGCACCCATAAATTTAATCCCTTCTGCATCAAAACAACTTTTTTGCTTGTGTTGTGTATTGTAGTGTGGTCAGTTGTTTTGTTTTGTTTTGTGGGATTGTAGTCTGATTGTTGTCTGTTGCTTGGTGATTAAAAAAATTGAATATTGTTTGGGTGTGCTATTTCTACTCAAACTGTTTTATTTAATATATGATATTAGAATAATGAAGCCTTACATTTGTGGGTTAAGTATCAGTGAAAACCTGATTGGTAGACAGGCACAAGCAATATTACCAATACCAGTGTGGTTGAATCAATTTCATTTTTAGAGATATTCAGCTCCTGTGATTATGTTTAATATTTTGGATTTTAATAACTTTACAGTTTACATTTTTAGAATTTCAAAGTTATTACATTGTTGTCTATGGGGATCAAGTTCAATTTTAATGTAAGACCTATTATAACATTTAATTTAATTTTTCAAGTTTTTGATCTCTGTCCAACCCAGATATGAAAAAGTGCTAAAAGAAAAAGAAGAAATAGAAGCCGCTTACATGCAGTTTAGAAGAGAAGTGAAAAATACAAGTAAAGGTAGTGCCGCAAAGGAAGTAAGAATACTGAAAAATATTGTGAAAAACTTAGAGGATGAAGTGACTACAGAGAAAGCAAAATTTCGAAGGCAAGCTAATAAAAGAAATCAGGATTACAGGAGTCTACTTGAAGAGGTGAAAATATTTCTTGTTTTTACCATCATCGAATCTGGTAAAATTGTCAACACTGAGTAGCTCAACTATCATTATCTACCACTCCACTATAAGTGACTATATTTTTTCTTTTTCATTTGAATGGTAGGTTGAAGAGTTGAGGGCAAGTGAGCGAAACTTGCGTGCACGTGTGAAAAGTCTTACCAATGAATTAGCAGTGTTCAAAAGAGGGTAAGATCAAACTGTTGATTGTATGAACAGCTTGCTTTTATTTTATTTCAAAATAGCCCTTAAATTTATTCATAATACTATTTTTTTCTGTTATTGATATCTCAATCAGACAGGTATTTGGCCATGCTTTTGTTGTATATCCTGTACTGCATTAGCTTACATAAATGACAGAGATGTGTCAATAAGTCAGATTTTATTGATCAAGCATACACAATATTTGGTTTTTGTAATCTTCTATCGGAGATATACTTTTAATAGATCAAGTATGGTTGGTTTTCATGTATATTTAACCTTACCTCTGGAATACAGTAATCTCCCCTGCTTAATGTCCATGCATTTGTGCTGATAATCTTATTCTGGTACAAGAGTCAGTGGCCAAGCATAGTAAGAATTGATGAGAATTGAAAATTCAAGCCAAGCGTAACAGATTAGATGTTGAAAGCCAGGATGAATGTCAATTTCATCACTGATTGATCTGATCACCTGGTTCAAATTTATAAGCAGAATGACAGTTTACTTGTATATTTTTTTCCATGTAGGCTTGTAATTGTTAATAATTAATTGATGGTGTTCTTATAATAGAAGGATAAGCAGAGCATCACCCATACCTAATGTGTCATCATCAGCACAGAGAAGGGAAAGAGAAAGAATCAGGAGGCCGCGATCACTACCAAGGGAGAGATCACTGTCAAGAGATAGATCATTATCGAGGGAAAGGCCATCATCAGTGTCATCTGCTAGGAGTATCACGCCATCAGGTAATACATAGTACTCTAAATAAATTAAAAAATAATACAAAAACAAAAGAAGTCTATACACGTAGGTATGTCTGTTTTAATAAACTTGATTCATTTGCATTTGTATTTTATTACAGGTTGCAGACTGCCACGATTTGACCCTACTGCTTATATATCTGATAAAAAACGCAAACAGGATGATGCCAAATCAAAAAGGTGCATATTGTTATGATTTTATATCAATACGTAATGTTCACTTTGTAACCGTTATTACTAATTTATCATTGCATTGTCTTAAATTGACAGAGATCGTTCTATTAGAAGATATGGTAACTTAGATAGAAGCCGAAATCCATCATCTGCTGAGAGAGGTAGAGAAAGGACGAGACCATCACCATTATATTCTGGTAAAAATATCTATGATAATTATCTTGTAATGCCCTACACATACTACATTAGACTGTCAACAGTCAGTCGAACCTAATAATAAATATTGTGTATAAACGTAATAGGCTTGAATAAATTGCGAATGACAAGACAGGAAGTATGGAGTACTGGAGCGTTTCGACTACCATGATATTTTGGCAAAGAATACCAGTGAGACACTATTGCAAACTACCGGTACATACGTGTTCATCAGCGTACCTACGGGAAGTCAGAGCTTTTTGTCTAGATTTTCAATGTTTCAGAGAGTTAAGTTTAAATATCAAATTACCTTTGGGGTCCATGTTGACATTCGTCTTGTCAAAAAGAACTTGTTTCGAAACCAGGGATTCCCCACTTTCAGTGCCATTCTCTTAGAGGAAATTGCCTGCGACCTTTTCAATAACTCTCGCTTCGTTTGTTGAAATTTCTTCCTGAACTCATCCATGTTTTTGTGCCGGATTAACGCTCTCTGTCAAGACGATATAATAGTTTTCTTTGTTATTTTGGTTGGAATGACTGCATTCAGAAGATCAGCCCATTTAGAATAAATTTGCATGATTATGTTAAAATAGTTATTTTGCTTGTTTGGTCCAAAATTAAGAATAAATTAAACAAAATGTGAATTTATCAAAATTTTGGACTCAAAGGGTTAATCAATCAAATGGAATGGTTGTACTGCAAGACTTTATACAGACATGAGTGTTTGTATGTAAAATATACATGCTTTTATATCATAGGTGGTTACAGAAGAGCTCGAACTAGTTCTATGGGAAGTATGGGAAGTAGAACATCCTCTTTGAGTGATATTGATATGCCATCTACCAGTTCACAAAGATTAAGGTAAGTTTTGGCCACATACATAATATTTAGCATGTCCTGTTAACATCCACCTAGATGTCCAGTTGGGTACATGTATAGAATTTACAGTGAAATTAACCATTTATTGTACATAAAAATATATTTATTGTACTATATAATATCATATTTTTAACTAAAAAGCAACATCATTTGTCTTTACTGCAGGGGTATAAATAATGTGCTGAAAGGGAGGACATCATCATCAGCACCCTGGGCCAGTCCTGATGTGGTAGGTAACACTCACTTTGAACACTTACTTTCATGTGATTTCAATACATTTGGTATAAAATTTGAACATTCTGGGGGTATTGTGCAGCGCAGGCCAATGTCAAGGTGGCTACAGTTTGCTAAATTTTGACCATTCGTTGGTGTTCACTGGATTTTTATTTTAGTGTTAGTAAATGTGATAATTGAAAAAATATATAGTATAATCAATTCAGCTAAGAGGCTGTATATATGATTTTTTTTTCTAATACAAGGAGAACATTTGGCATTCTAACATTGGTTCTTCTGCACTCTGAAGCAAAGTAAGTGTATTATCATTTTCAATTTCTTGTTTTCTCTACAAATTTCATACTATTATTTGGTTATTTTCAGCCTCTACATATGGCAGGCAGTGGTAAATCATCCAAGAAAACTAAATCAAGAACTAGGAGATATCCTTTTTATAATTTTGTTTTGTTTATTTCTATGTCAATTAAGCTTGCATGTTAAATTACCCTGTAAATTTTGCTCATTTAGAACTTATTCTGATCTTATAATGAGAGTGTTTGGCATATTAATTAAAATTAGACGAATGTGCCACAGACTCAATGGGAAGGCCTAATCCACTGGCCAAGATTCATTCAATAACTAATGCGACTTTGGGCGAATCTTGGTTAAGTTCTGCAGGGGTTTGTGTTTGATTGCATTAGATGTCAGCACTTGCAACATTAAAAAAAGGTCAGGAGAGATAACAGTAATATTCAATGTATGGAACTGTTGCCTGACACAAAAATATATTTAAAACAAAAATTATGGTACTGCCAATTCACTTCACAATTTGATACATGATATTTCGATTCATATCGTTGAGAATATTCACTGTGATACTGATCCTTGACTGGCCACACAGCTGTAAGTACACCTGATCCAGCAGCTGATTTGGATAAAGTGCGTAGATTAACGAATACATCTGGGAAAATCAGAAAACGAGATGTAATAGATTATGAACCTATAGGTGAGTCTATTGAATTATGCATAGTAATGTATTTGTACTTTTTGGATTAACTTGATTATGGGCACTAGACTACTATAGATCCAGTCATTGCTCCAATTACCAGTAAAAGTCCTTATGCCAAAGCTCAATAGCTCAATCAAGTTGATACTTGGAGTAAATATTTTTCATTACACTACAGATCTAAGTGATAATCTCAGTTGATCTATACTGTACACTTGTCGACATGTGGACGGTTCTTACTTGAGTGAGTTACAAAGCAACCTCATGCTTACTGAGAGAGCTTAGCAAAAAATATTCATTTGAATGGGCGAGGCTGCATGTTCATTTACATTTTAATGGATACAGCGAAAATGTCATTCAAAAATTGGATAGTGACACTGATTAAATGAAGTAAAGTAGTGTCTAAACATAACACACAAAGTAAAGTCAGAAACAATGTAGCTGATGATTATTATAAACATGCAAGAAGTCACACTAGTCGTCTTCTGGTGTTTTGTCACCTGTGTTACCTGCTGATATATAATGGCTGTAATTTTGATAGGCTTTCAATTATTGTTTCAGTTTAAATAATCAAACAAAACAAAATTTTGCACACTGTTCATGTTGAACTGCTGTAAGCCTTAAATACACTTTCTAATGTTATTGAAAACTTAAAAAAAAAAAGATTTCACAACCATTAATTCTTAAGATTATCCTAGATCATAACATTGTGTAAGTCTGAGAAACACTGAAAAATACACACTTACTAGTTTTTGTAGAACTTTTAAATAATTTGAGTATAAGATTATCATGAGAATTTCGCACAGTATGCACAAACACAGTACAGTGATCATATCGACTGAGGCATTTGGAGATTGAGTGGTCTGAGTGCATACTTTGCAGTATACTTGTGATAGCTGTAATATTATAACTATTCTTTTTCTATTTAGTAAAGAGAATGTGAACATTTGTGTTCAATTACAGGATTCCATCATGTGCTATACTGTACTTCCAATGTAAACAATGACTAATTTTTGAATATAACATCTATAAACTATTTGTGACGTACAGTAGTTTACCCCATATAAGAGAATATTGGAACAAGTGCAGATAAGTTTTCAAGCAAATGCAGATGTGGCACATTACTGAACAGTAAATTTTATTGTTTTCATAGCCTGACATGTAGGTGTGAGTGGCGCCCTCACTGCCAAACTGCATCATACCTCACTAACGCCTCACAGAATAGTGTATGTCTTATCGGCAAGATCAAGTTCACGCCTTCTTGCAATGAGTTTCAAAGAATATTCATTTTGGTGGTCATGGTAACACCGTTAATCTAAGCCGTGTTTGCCTTGTCGGAAAAAGTCATAGACTGTTTTCAACAAGATGATAAACATTGGGCGAAAATTTGCCAGCACATTATGTCAACAAACAAATAAATGGTTACTCTTTGATGGCTGTCACTATCTGACGCTCCTTCAAATTGATTGGTACCGATAAAAAATCATTGGGGAAGAGAAAAACTACATTGTTCTGTCAGGCGTGTGTTGGGTTTTGAGCACCGTGGAGGGTACAACTCATGTGACCTTGTCAGGCGTGTGTTGGGTTTTGAGCACCGTGGAGGGTACAACTCATGTGACCTTGTCAGGCGTGTGTCGGGTTTGGAGCACCGTGGAGGGTACAACTCATGTGACCTTGTCAGGCTATTGTTATCATGCACTACATGTAGTTGTATAATAATGCTCTGTACTCCAAAAGATGTATACTAATTATCAACTTATAAATATTCATTACCCCGCTTTGGACAAGACATACTGTTCTCTTATTGTAGATTATAGTGTGTCCAGGTCAAAATGGGATGGCCTTCATAAGATAAAGCCTGCAATAGGGCATTCTGATTGGCTGTATGAGAAGCACTCAGAAGATTTTAAACAATGCTATATGCATATAGCTGTAATAATGAAATATTTGTCACTTCACAGGTAACAGGAATGGATACTACCATGACAGATCAGCTGAGATGTCTGAAATTGATGCTAGACTCAACGCACTTCAACAGTTCATGCAAAATAATCTAAATTGAAAATCCTGCTGGGATTGTGCAAGAAAAATGAATTCAGTTGATGTAGTTATGTAAATTAAACTAAGACAACAATAGATGCTAATTCTGTACTGTTTTGTATGTGATTATATCAGAGACACTAGAATGTTGTGATAATCTTAGACATGTTTGAGAAAAGATTTGTACATTATATATGGTCTTTCTGCCCTGTCAATTAGATAATCCCCTGTACATACTAATTTTTATCATAAATTCAAAAATTGCTTTCTTTTTGTATATACACAATAATAACTGATATATCCATAATTTGTTGCACCATAACCAATAGTTTATAGTTTCCATATACCAGTAATTTGTGTACTTGCCAGCATTGTTTAAATATTTCCATTTTCTGTACGATTGTTGTTCTTTTAGTAATTGTAACTGAATGTGGTGTTGTATTTATGCCTGTCCTCTCTTACCCAGCACTTATGTTATCAGGTATGGTCTCAAAGATAACATTCAGTTTAAAATTATCACAAATACATAACTGGAGGAATGTATTCTGATTGCTCAAATGATGTAATTGTATTAAAATATACTGATCTCATTACTGGTGGTGTTCCTTTGTAAATATTGATTGGAAATTAACACTGCCAATACTTGCAGATTCAAAATTGAAGAATAAAAAATTATTTCACAATTAACTTATATGTGTTATGGTTTTGATTTATACATTTATCTGTGGTCACTCACCATGAAGATTTAGTCTGAAGTCATAAATTGCCTGCATCTTATAGTAACAAGCTGTCTGTGGCACAATTGTGCTGCCATGGCTGTATTTAAGTGGCTTACTGTCACCGCCATACTGAACACAAAAACATCAACATTGCCAGCTAATTTGCTGACTGGTTTGTTATGCACGTCTTGAGATCTTTACTTGATTAGAACTGATTAGTTCAAACCACTTTTATGAGAGTGCGTCCTGCTAAAATACAACCCACCAGACACACTATCGCCTGTATCCAGACATTTCATACTGTGTAAATACATAACTTTGCCATTTATAGAAATGTACAAGATTAAATAAAATGTATTGAAAAGCAATCGCATCACGATTTATTTATAGTCAGATTTGTTTCCTGTTGAGGTTTGACCCAATTCACTATGTTCAATTACCCACCATAGACTCCGGTCAGTCAAAATGACTATTTTGAACTGTAGGCATTAATCAGCGATTCTGCCGGTGACTGAGAGATAGAATCTGGGTCAGGGGAAGCCCCATGACCCCAAGATTCTCTTTCCCTTACGTCGCGAACCACATGACCGAGTCCATATGGCGGCACCATAGACGGCTGTACAATCACTCTGCTTCTTCTCCACATCTCAAATGGAGATCAAGTCTAGCGAGCTCTGCCTGGATCGCCTGTTTTTTTTCCTGTCCGGGTTTCTAGCTTGGGTTGTTGCCGCTGCCCGGCATCCGACATTGTAGCTGGTAGGATAAGTTTTCCTTGTCAGTTTTACCCTCGTGTGGTTTTCCCCTTTGTTGTGTAGTATTTTTCACAACAAAGAAATAAAACCCGGGCGACATAGCTTAATCACTTGTTGGTTTCGTTATGTCTCCTTTCCTACTGTAATTCGCTTCCCTCATGCATGTCGTCTTCATTGTATGCTTGATCTAGGTATTTAGCAATGAATAGATGTAATGACAGCACCAGGGCTTGCTGCCGTTTTTTTTTTTTTTGGGACTCCTCGTGTTTCGAGTTGATTGTGCAGTGCTTATATTCAGAATTTATTAGCATAGAACCCGCATCCGAAATACTTTTGTTGTAGCTGCGTGCGGGGTTCAGGGTTTTTGCCGTGAAGGCGTGTGTTTTTCACTGGAGTTCTGAGGCCTGAGATTTTTTTTTCAGAGCCATCAAAATCGCTGACTGACCGCGTTGCTCGTTTCTTCACAGCAAGGTTGCATGTAACAAATCGGTTAAAGTGAGTGCGTGTTTGGCATGAGTGAAAAGTCCTCACGCTCGGCTACCGGTGCTTCATGTACCGGGACGTCGAGTAGGAGGCCCGATGGTGGAGGTATCGATACTTTTTCTCGGTCTCCCCCCGCTGATCGGAAGGCATCCTCACAGTCTGTTTTTCAGGCGGTTGTTTACCCGATTTTACCGGCTGCAGCGAGGCTGTGCCCCTGGAGGCTTTTCTCCTTTGGCGCACGGCACCGGGTTTGTCTCCGAGTTGAGGGCTTCGGTCGAAGGACTGTCAAGGCAATTGCGTCTCTTGCAGGCCGGGTAGATCAGACAAAGTCAGAGCGGCCTCCTCTGGAGCCTCGGGCACTGAATGCCAACGGGGTGCTGGCAGCCAAGACTCCAATCTCGGGGCAGGGCTTTCAGGGCAGGGCACACGTTGACCCCTCTACTACCCTCTACTCTAATTTATCCTTGTGTCCGGTCTCCTCTGTGGGTTTTGGACTCCCTTACTTACCGACCCACGGGCGTCCCCAGAGGGAACCGACCTTGTCATGAGACGCACAGTCGAACACACTCCCTCTCACATATACAAAGTGAAAGGAGACGCAGTTTGTTCGCGACGGATACAGCCGGTACTCCGGGCGGTCCCTCAGAGTTTTCCATCCGTAATGACTTGGTGAGCCACGTTTTGGGGTGATGTGGAGTATCATCGATCCCAGTGATACAATGTAAATACCCCCACCCTTGATCCTAAGGCGACCATCCAAGGTTGCTTCAATGCTTAGGGGATCACGGGCGTCGGGATCCAAAGCGACCCCGTCGGCACATCTCTCCCTGTCCGTCTGAGTGCGGAGTGGGGTGCAGGACGTGTAAACAGTGTTGATGGGCGGACGTTGGTCAGCCACGAAGGACGTAATGCTTAAAACCTTTGGCAACACTTCTCGCTGGACCAAACGCTACCCGGTCGGTGTGGTTTCGGGATCAGCCCCATAGCGTGGGATGAGACCAAAACGCCCCAACCGGATCCCAAGGCTCCTTCCCCAGACCACGGTACCACGAATTTCCGTTTGGCAAACCGGGCAAAGGGGGACAGCCGTGTTCCATGGGCATTCTCGCCAGCTCAATCGGAGACGACCCATCCAGCCCTGAGGGCAGAGTTGCTTAAGCGCATTATTGCACACGCCCAGGACTCTGGAGACCTCGGAGGCAGAACGCACCAGCCTCCTAGACCAGGCGACACATTTACTGGCGGGCCACCGCACATCTATGTGTGACATCCCCTAGTGTCACCTGGCTCTCTTGGCCGGGGCCACTACTGTGCTACAAGACGCGGCCTTAGATGCATGTGTTTTCGCCGACAAGCTGAGTCAGGGGGTACGTCCCCACCTCAGTGACGCAGACTGGACATCTTCCACCCTCTTTGTTCAGGAAATGGTGGGTACAGTCTTGGAGCTTCGGAGTGCAATGAACCAGAGGGCTCATATCGAATCCATTAGCCAGTTGACCCTGCAGAGGGCACTCCAAGCACAGAAAACACAACGCCCTAGGGTGTCGTCCACTAGCCAGAGTCAGCCAGGAGGCAAGCGCTCATACCCTTCCATGGAGTAGTGGCGCAGCGGGGGAAGCGTGTTTGACGCTCACCTCTGCAACCGAGGGGACAGGCATGTGTTCGGTGAGTGGCCAGGTCACAACTTAGTGACTACTTCAGGTCTTGGGGAACTTACCTCATGGGAGAATAGAACACCCCCTGCTCGCAACTGCCGAACCCATGGCCACATATCCCTGTCGTACACAGATTGCGTTGGTGTAGTCTGGTTTGGAGACAGCGAGTGACCGATCCCTGGACCTTCCCAGGTGGTGACATCCGGTTGCAGGATACTGCTAAAATCTCCATCTCCCCATCAGTGTCTCCCCTGTTAGGCACTGCCAGGGGACTCCCACAAGGCGGAAGCAATCAGACAGGGAGTAGCAGTTTGCTGGGAAAAGGCGCCATACACAGGGTACTAAATCCGGGTTCTACCCAAATGTGTTCATAGTACCAAACCTACAAGTGCCGGGCGTCCAGTTCTGGACCTCTGCAGACTGAATCAGTCAATCGATCGGTTCCACATGGAGACACCATTCAGGGTTCTTCTCTCCATCCACCGTTTCGACTGGCTAGCCCCACTAGACTTAAGTGGGGCCTACCTGCACATACCGATGCACCCAGCGAGTTGCCATCTCCTTCAAATCGCCCAGCTGGGCCAAGTATTCGAATTGTGGGTGCCCCCCGTTTGGGTTGTGCACAGCGCCCTATGTGTTCACCAGAGTGATGAAACAGGTATTGCTGCTGCTTCAACAAATGTCGGTACACCTCAATCCGTACCCAGACTACTGGTTACTACACAACCCGGACAAGAGGTCAATAGCCAAACACGCCAGGCTAACACAGGATATACTTCACCAGTTGGGCTCATTAGTAAATTGACAAGTCCCGCCTCGACCCAACGGGCAGTTGGTTTCCCTAGGCATGGAGTTTTGACACAGAGGTAAGCTTGGTTTAGCTATTGCAAGTGTGTGGCTTAGCGCCTAGTCAGCGTTCCCTCAGTGTCCCTCCGAGAACTAATGCGGATCATCGGATTGATGACCTAAGTTCGAAGGGTCGTTCCCCAGGCAGCTGCGTAGTGAAGGAAGCCCTGCCCAAGTGGCCGTCGCTGGCCAACCTCTGACAGGGGGCCCCCTTGGACCCGCTTGCCGCAGGTATGACTCTGGTAACTGATGCCTCCTCCCAAGGTTGGGGAGCACATCTACTGGATGAACAAGTCCAAAGATATGGCCCCCGCATTAGTTTCGGGACAACCATATCAACCGGCTCGAACTGAAAGCAGTATACTTAGCACTACAACACTTTCTACCCATAGTTCAAGACCACAGAGTCCTGCTCCGCACAGGTAACGCAACGGTGGTCTCCTTCAAGAAGGAGGGGGGGGGGCGTGTTCCTCATTGTTGTCAGTCCTAGCAGAGCAAACCCTCCTTTGGTAACTGGATTACAATGTGGAGCTAACCGCACACCACCTTCCAGGGGTGAGGAACAGTCTGGCAGATACCCTTTCAGGGGGGCTCCATCTCCAGAACACTGGGTGGCTGATACAAGCCTCCAGGCAGTTTCGGCTGTTGGATGGTCCAAGGTTAGACCGTTTTGCCGCACCACGGAACGCCAAGCTCCCGACGTACGTAACACTCCTGCCGACTCCAGGAGCCTGGGCCAGGGCTGCTTTGCTAACCCCGTGGACCCACTTAGTTGTGTACGCCTTTCCTCCCTTCCCGCTAGTTCACCGGGTACCGGAGAAAACTTCGACAGGTGCACACCTGCATATTATTATTGGTTGCACCCAATTGGCCAAACAAGGCCTAGTTTCCACTTCTGTCGGAAATGCTAGTCGAAACACCAATAGTGCTTCTGGACTTACTGGACCTGCCGTCCCAACCAGACGGCGCACTACCAACGAGCCCAGCGGGTATCACTTACACACATAGAGGCTCTCATTAGACCAGCACATACAAAAGCTTTATCTGAGCGAGCTGCCAATGTCCCGACCAACGTCCTGGTCAGGGCGAACAGGGATTCCACCAATGCAGCCTACATTTCTAGGCTGCGAGCATACACTGATTGGGGTAGCGGAAGGGAGATTGATCCATACCATCCCTCTATTGGCCAGGTAGCAGGCTCCTTCATCCACCTGTTTGACGAAGTGGGTTTGCCCCATGCAGCGATCATTGGCTACAGGTCGGCCTTGTCCCCCATCATTGAGAACGTACGAGAACAAGACTAGCCGATTGTCCTATTATTAGGAGACTATTTACTGCTTTCCAGACTCCAAGACCCATACAAGGGAACCGTCCAACTCGGACTTGTTGCTTGTGTTGTCCGCTCTAAACAGACCGCCCTTTGAGCCTCTCTGATCAGTACCACTCAAATTTTTCGACGTGGAAAATAGTCTTCCTACTGGCCCTTGCCTCAGGTAGGCGTCGACCAGAGCTGGGGGCATTGTCCTTCTCGGATGATGTACCGCTGTTATGGACAATCAAGTTCTGTGAAAGACACAAATCGGGTTTCTCGCCTAGAACCAAATCCCAGGACACGATCCTCACCCGATCGTCATCCCCCAGCTGTCAAATTTTGTCTGCCCGGAGGGTCAGAAGGAATTGCTTCTCTGCCCGGTTCGAGCACGGAGTTGCTACCAAACCGTACTAAGGGTTCAGGACAGAGTGCCAGGCACATGTCTTTGTGTTACGGCCCAGGCAGGCAGGATAGGCCGGCCTCCCCAACTTCCATAACCAGGTGGTTTACTGCGACTGTATTAGAGGTCTATAATACTTTAACTTCCTTGACACAGAGCTTGCAGAGACACCAAGTACGAGCGCATGAGGTCTGTGCAATTGCTAACTCACTAGTGCTAGCGTCAAGTGCCCCCCACGAGCATACACAGAGGGCAGGCTTCTGGAGAACGCAGAACGTCTTTATCAACTACCACCTAACAGACACCGTATCTATTGGGGAAGGTCTCTTTAGGTTGGGTCCCGTCGTAGCGGGTCAGTCTAGGTTTGCTGACCCAGCCCGAACGACCACGACCCTGCGCATAGGTAATATTAAAGTCAGTCTCGGCATTTTATGCGGACAGATTTCTCTACCGTCAGCACTCCCCTGGAAGCTCCCAGGTCCTGCTTTGCGGCCTATGCCCTCATGAAGAACTATTTCGGTCTCTACTTCGAAAGCTCACTACCCCCAGTATTGGGTTGGGGTTTAGGCTTTTGGGCACACCAAACCCTGTCACCGTAGCAGCATTTTGGCTTCTTGCTCCGGGGACAGCACAGACACCACCCTTTTTGGGCCTTAACCAGGGTGTTGAGTGATTATTGTATTTCATGCCAGACCGGGAAAAGACTTTCATCATTTTTCTGTTTGCTCGGTTAAAACCCGCCACCTATCGGCGTCTGACTCTGCCTAAAGTTCACAAGTCATTGTCAATGACACGTCCGCGTTCCGTTCATATTTGAGTGACATATACATTCAAAGCAGATCATGACCGAAATCTGATCCGAAATGCACCTGCATATGTACAACACATTGTACTAAAACTGAACAAAATACGTCCATGCATAACTGAGATCCGGGTCCGGAATGGTGAAAATGTGCAATTTCAATGCATTTTCGGCCTTAAAGCGGCCGCCATTTGGCAATCGTTAATGAGATCTAGAAACAAATGCACATACATATTTGTGACATGATGTACCTTGTGTGTGTGAAATTTGAACTCTATCAATCCAGGCATGTCTCAGATACGGATCCAGAACTGAATTCTTTAAAACAAAATGGCCGTCAGTCGGCCATTTTAAACCTGATCCAAAAAAAAAAAAATGACGTGCATCAAGGTCCTATTATGTTTAATGTATGTACCAAATTTGAACAAAATCTGTCCATGCATAACTGAGATCCGGGTCCGGAATGGTGAAAATGTGCGATTTTGATGCATTTTCGGCCTTAAAATGGCCGCTTTTCGGCTATCGTTAATCGGATCATGAAAAAATGCATGTGCATATGTCCCATATAATGTGTGATGTATGAGTGAAGTTTGAACTTAATCAGTCCATGCATGTTCGAGATACAGGTGATCACGGACGCACGGATGCACGGACGCACATAGGGCAAACCATAAGTCCTCGTTTTCGGACTACGTCCGAACAGGGACTGAAAATAGTCATTTTGACTGACCGAAGTCCATGGTGGGTAATTGAATGTAGTGAATTTAGGCAGAGGGTTCTTTGAACCCCGCCTATTCACATAGTTCATACCCACCATGGACTCCGCCCCCCCAACCACTCTTTCTGTAACGTTGGTCCAAGTCCTCGATGCGGAAAGGAACCAGAGTGATTGTACAGCCATCTATGGCGCCGCCATATGGGCTCGGTCACGTGGTTAGTGATGCAAGGGAAAGAGAATCTTGGGGTCATGGGGCTTTGCCTGACCTAGATCTCTCCGTCACCGGCAGAATCGCTAATTAATGCCTACAGTTCAAAATAGTCATTTTGACTGATCGAAGTCTATGGTGGGTATGAACTATGTGAATAGGCGGGTTCGAAGAACCATCTGCCTAAATTTGTTTAAATCACGTAATGATCTCCAAGTGCTCTAAGCAAACTTAGCTGCCAATATTCCTGCTTTGTTCAGAACAGTAATAATGCACAAATCAGTATGCCTCCGCTAATTTTATTAAGGAACCATTCAAATTGCTAATGAAACAGCAAGAGAGGGGAAAACTAGTTAAAAATTGACCTGAATCAGACATTCACTGAAAGTTACTACATATGAGCATGTTAATATACAACAACCTATCCATTATATGAAAGCTTAAAATACGGAATTGCATATGCTGTACCAATCTAAAATAAATTTAGATTTTTTTCTAAACGGGCGCATCGCCCTGATACTCACGGCTGGTGCCCTCTTATCGAATTGCCGATTGAACTCTAATTCATAAATATATTTCTTGAGCCGTGCACTAATATATTTTTCTCCATGAAAACTTCCCTGCAACACAAGCTGACAATGTGTCTGGACACTAAAATCACTAACAATATTTCAATGGCAATAGATACACCATTAAAATGGCACAGAAACCTTCCAATATGGAGTTTCCAGGTCTATCACCTGTGTGTGCTCCTTGTTTTTCTAGAAAAATCCCCGAAATTGGTTATTTTTTTAAAGATTTTTATCAAGTAGAATATTTTGTCGGGGTAAAGGGGAAAAAAACAATCTCACATTAGCATCATCTACATGTTGACTTCAATACTAATTATGGTAGTGAGTGTGTTGTGTACACTGCTGGAGAGTAAAATGGAAAACTGAATACATAACTGAGAGTGTGTATCAGATGCATTACTAGGATAATATCACCCCTTGCCTCTTGGATATTCAGTGATGAAACTCGCTCTGAAAGTAATATTTTATCACATGAATATAGTACATATCATTCACAGTTGTGGCCACCAGTGTGAAATACGACGTTATAAGGATTGATAAATTGTTTATACAGGGGGAAAAACAATTTATGTGGCAGTAATGTAGAAATTTCAGGCAGGATATTTACTGAAATGCAATGATACTAGCTAATTCATAATAATGATTGAAAGTTTATTTTAAAGAGATATTGATAGGATAACATTTGATATTGATAGGATAACATTTGATATTGATAGGATAACATTTCATATTGATAGGATAACATTTGATATTGATAGAACATTTGACATTGATAGGAGAACATTTGATATTGATAGGATAACATTTGATATTGATAGGGGAACATTTGATATTGATAGGAGAACATTTGATATTGATAGGATAACATTTGATATTGATAGGAGAACATTTGATAATGATAACCGATGCAAATACACATCCACTCATGCACTTAGATGTACAACTTCCAGCTTTTTGGATGTGATAAAAAGTGGCATTATTACAAGAGATAACCACATTAAAGTGAGTTTTTGAATTTGATAATTGTTAGCTGATGAGGGTTTAATGACTGCATCTTGGCGAATAATTGTCACATCAATCGTCCCTGGTTATTATTTTTCAATATTTTGTATACATATTTAGGCTAATGCAGTGTCATTAACAGCATTGGAATATTTGCCATAAACATCAAACAATTTTACTTGCATAACATTTATTTCACATATTATTGGTATTACATGTATACAATTATGAACACAATTATTGATCAAAAATCACATAATTTGTGTAAAAATTAAATATTTATATTAATGCAATTATTTGTTAATTGAGGATTATAATAGTTATATTAAAGTAATTTTCATTTAATACATGATTTAGTCATTACGAGTATACCACTGATACTGACAATGTCTTAAATCATGCATCTACTCAGATGGATATTCTCATTACGTATAAAGTTTTTAATTATAGAGGGCAGTAGACAGTACAAACTGTATACAAATCATGTTTTCAGTCTATGCATTGCAATGCCCATAAGTATCACACCCTGTGTACAGAAACTAAACTCCTGCTCCTGTATCATAACATGTCACATTCAAACCATGCCATAATTTGCTACAACTTCATTGAGACATCACCTTGATGTCCAAGAAGTTTGTCTTGGTGTCCTTCAACAAATACAGATATTCCCAATACTATCCTTATTCACTAAAGCAATTTGATCAAACCTGGCGATGAAAATAGGTGACCTCTCAAGACACCCAGTCTTCTCAATGGGTGTTAAAATTCTAACATGCATTCAAAGATTTATGAGACAAATGTCTCACATTTCATATCTGGTGGATTACCAATGATGGAACAGACTAGCAAATAATTGTCAGACTTTTAACAATTACAAAGACCAAACAAGACTGCATTCAAGACATTCAATTCTCCAATCCTTTTCGTGGCATATAGCATAAGATTACTGTAATTGTAGAGAACAATTCATAAACACAGAAAGTTTTGTTTTTTAAATTTCACCACCACCCTTTCTTTCTATCTTTATTTTGAGTAGTTGTATTAGAAATCTCTTTAGTTTCTTTTGATACATCTGCAGCTGTTTTTTCCTCTTGTTTTGAAGCAGGAACCTTTGTCCAGTATGATTTTGAATGATCAACAAACGCAATTCTGCGATTAAGTTCCCGTATTTTAGCATCTTGCTGCTCTACAATAAAACCCATCTCTTCAACTTTCATTTGAAGTTCTTTGATAGAATCATTTTGCGTGTCTTCTTTGTGTTGTTCATTACGAGACTGTCTCCAAAACTCGGCTACAAGAACACCCACGCCCACAGTGAATATAAAACTTTCTCCTAGTATCTCAGCACCCAGTTCCACAGCAGCTGCTTCTGAGAGTGGCTTCACTTCCTTTACCTTTCCAAATCCCAACAGTCTCATCTTGACATTGACTTCACTCCAGTGGTAAACTAAAACAACATTAGATGTGAAGTTAGAAAGAAAAATGAAAATAAAAAATAAACTAAAATGACAGTTTGGCAATTAGGAAGATCACACCATGTAGCACATTCACATCGTTATTACCTGGAAGGAGACCATGATATTTGTATAATGGCACCTAACAGCATTTCAGTTTCAGGGTATATTGATGCCACATATGATTATGGTTCCATGCTACCACACAGAATCTTAGTATCTTGGCACAGGATCTTAATATAACAGAATTTGTGATTATATTATATTTGATTACAATATAGAAACTTGGAACACAAGAACTTGGTAGACACTCCCAAGCAGACAGGCAAATGAATGTATTGCCTTTCTTAGATATTTTTATTTGATGGTGTAAAATACTAACTGTTAATACATTGATAGGGGTTCGGACAGTTACTTCCAATAGGGGGGTCCACCATGTTTTCCAGAATTTACACACGCGCTCATGCATATATTTTTAAAAATTTATTTCAGAACAAAAGATATAAAAAAGTAAATCTCACAAATGTGTTCTCAATAATAACTATTGCCTATAAATTTGTTGATGAAAAAAAAGTTATAGTCTAAATATTTTGAGGTTAAAGTTGCCAAATAACTAACAGATTATGCAATGCGGCTTGAACCCCAATTATACTGTTAAGTTTTAAACACATCCCAAGTCCATGCGCTGCTGATATCAGATTATTTTATTTAAAGTCTGAAGTCACCATTGTATAAGATATTTACTGGATTAATCCAATTATGCTGATATATAAATTAAAATAAACGATGAAAAAATAAATAAATATTTTTTTTTTAACTTTCAAATATGCATATTTTGCTCTGTAAAATACCAAAATCCAATACAAATTTAAGCAAAAATCAAAATTTCCTTTGTTTTCATTAGCACAGACTGTGCTTCGGGTGTAAAGCATTCCTGGTATATAAGATATGAAAGATATTTTAAATCCAAATTAGTTTTCAAAGAGTTCAAACCCCCTAGATTCAAACTTTCTTTTCCTATCTTATACTGAGGGTGTTTATCAAGTGAGTACTCCACAGCTTTGCTTTTATTTACTATGTTTAGCAGCATAGATTTCCATGATATTTTCACTGCACATATAATACATTTTGTAATCATGTCAGAGCCCAAACTGTTTCTTTGATTTTTCAGGAGCAGCGCAGCATGTTTTAAAATATAATGATGGGTTGGGTCACCCACTTTTTTATTTGATAGGGGGTGGGTCAACTGAGATTTACAGCTGGCAAAATGGAATCTGCTGACCCCCCCCCCACGCCGAAGTAACTGACCAATCCCTGATAATACAGTTTAGAAATCCACAACTGCTTGTGTGGTCTTTGACCCCACGGGACAATTGCTCTGCTAAACGTTTATTGCGAAACTACCAGAGGATTCTTGCAACATTTGACCCTAACAGAGGGACTGTGATTTGACTGCAGTATTGAATATATTTAATGGGATCTGCAAGGTCTTATGGGTAATACTGAACGTCTTCTCTAACCAATGGAAACTTCTGATGATTTGAAAATAACACAGGGTAACAGTTTTACAAATATTTATATAAAATGTTTAACCATACACCGTAAAAAAGATCTTAAGATCTATGGTTTGACCTTTGACCTGAATAATCATTCAAGATTTAACTATGAATATATGTATTACTGAGCAATTCTAACCAATCTTATTTACTCCAAAGTACACACTATCCAATTGATTTGGTTGAAACAGTGATACCATTTATTATGTTATTTACGACACGTCGCACTTAAAGTGCTGTGCACATGTGCGCCAACACATCGTCCATGTAGTATGATGTACTTACTCTGTGCTGGTGGCATACATATCCTCCGTCTGAATAATTCGCTTGATTTCGCTGCACGTTTTAAATAATTGGCGATAGGCTTACTAATTTGGCGAACGGCCAGTGAAGCCAATTTCGCGAGAGGAAAGGCACCCACAACCATTTTGTCTGTTTGACCTATGTATGACCCCTAACTGAAGTCGACCTTGAATGACCCGTGAACCGTAGGTGGCGCTGTTATAATCGGCAGTCGTGTATTTTTTTTTCTAGTTTCTCAGCGTTTCGAATCTGACATTGTGTTTTGTTGCCGAGAACGTGAATATATTAAAAATGCCTGCGGCGTCTTGAGCTACCTCCCAGTATTGTATATAATACAACCAAGGTTTTATAAGATGACAAAATGGTTGGGGATGGCGAACTCTTGAGATTTGCCCCAATCATGAATATAAACCTTTATTGCAATTCAATACTGAGTTTCAATTTCTATACACCTACGCAATACACTGGAATACAAATAACGTAAATGAGCAAACCAGTGGAAATTTTCAAGTCGATTGCGTGATCTACGCGTGTACAAAACATGATGCAAGCGACTTGTGCTAACCGTATTTGGCTAAACTGAGAACACACATACAGGACGTGTTTACTTTCATTTAAATGATTGTCGTCATTTTCACAGCCATGAAGCTAATGTCGCGAGTGAAAAGGCTCGTGATTATTACCGATTCACTGGCATCAATCAGAACTCTGGCGGAAATCGTTCGTGTCTGATGACGTCAACCTAAGAGAAAATATCGTGAGATTATATATAATAAGCAAATTTGCAATTTGCACGACTTTAGTTTCATTTCGCATGGGATCTTCATCGCATATCATACCTTTATATGCCCCAATCATATGAAATCTAAATTCTTGATAAAATGAATACTGAGTTTTAGTTTCCACCCGCTGAGTCAACATTCCGGATTACAAGGGGAATTCCCAAACGCAAATGAGCAAACCAGTAGAAATTTCTAAAGGTGAGTGCGTGTTATACGCGTGCGATGTACAAAACATGATGTAAGCGTTTGTATTGGCCATATATAAACTGATATGAGAACGCACGTACATCGTTTTCAGTTTCGTCTGGTTTCAGCAATATATTTGTTATGTCTTCAACTAAACCGGTTTCTGCTATTGATAACTGCATTGTACCAGGTATGTGGCGGGTAATATACATACGTATTGTTCTGAGAGCGTCCGTCACGCCGGGCCGTCACGGCAATGATCGAACATACCGCGTGCAATACTGTATATTTACTGTGCATATTTTCAAGTTAAGACTCAATCATATTTAACGGTATTATTTATTTACTGAAAATAACGGGAAAAGTGAGCATGTGTACATCGAGAATTTTCCAAATATATTGCAGGGGAATTCCCGCTTTCTAGCTGCGTATAATATTGATCTGACTGAGTAGTTAAGTATATAAATACTGATCAATTTATAATGCAAATCAGCTTATGCTATCAAAACAATTTATATTATGTTTCATTTCAAACTGGAACGAGAGGTTTGTATTGGTCGATAGAATGTTTTAAATGACGTCAATACACACTGCGCTCATTGACTAGGCTGGAGTCTACTGCCATTGGCATTTATATTTATAAAAATGAACAGAATGGGTTTGGTGTGTCGATAGTATGTCAACATTATGTTCAACCATACATTTTGACCATTGTTTACATGGAGGCTGTATACTAGTAGAAACCACTAATTACAATCTGCCAATAATGATGATGAAACTGGCGAGCAACTTTAGGGGTAGCCAGGACCTCAGACAGCCAATCATCGGGTTGGTTGTCTAAGTCTGGACAGAATTTGATATGACGATAAAAACACTGTCAACAAACAAGCTAATCTCTGGTCGGCTGTTCAAGCAGAATAAAGCACAATCTTGGGACACGATCCCTCTATAAATAGATCATGGTTACTAGAACCGTGGATAGAGGGAATATATTTAGAGGGACTATATTTTGAGTGGACTATATTTAGAGGGAATATATTTAGAGGGACTATATTTAGAGAGACTGTGCTTGAGAGTAGCGTCGCAGACTCATAGATTGGAAGGATTTCGTTATCGTTCCCTATCATGGACCAATTTGCTGTGGTGTGGGCCAGTTAACGACAATAGCTGGTGAATTGCATATTAACGATGCTAACTTAAAGGGCGGTGGTCGTCGCGCAGCGCGTGTTCGCATTTCACGTAAACAAACAATGAATTTTTCTTGCCTTGTGGGCGTTGTTATGAGTCCCACTGCGGCATATCGAACACGACGCGGCGCTACGACTACCACACTTAAATAAATAAATACGAAGTAAAGTGTTCCATCCAAATGTAAATGATTTTCTTTTGGAATATTCTCAAGTAAGAGAAACAATACTTTGATTTATGGTGAACAGTAGAACAAACAGACATAATTACTGACTGTACAAATGACATCTTTGCAGAATTAATACTTGAGTCCACGTCAATTACAACTATCAATAGTGACGTCATCAAAGAAATGGAAGACTTAGCTATCGACGCCACACAGACTTGGAATGATGAAAAGGTGAATGATGAAAGAAATATCCTGGATGAGAGTATCAGTGACGTAGTTTTGAGGTTCATAGTGAATGGCATGACATCACGTCAGGCAACCGAAGAAACTGACGCTAATGCGGAGCTGGTCTATGGACTTAGGACGATCAATGGGTTAATTAATGCGGCTGATAAAATACGTAACACAATGACAGATGCCGGGAATGGAGGTCAGTATCACTCCGTTTAAGTTATAACAGTTATACTGTCCAACGGTGAGTCATGGAATGTTTTTTTTAATTTTTTTTTTATATGTTTAATCCCGACATTCGATGGAATGAAGAAGGTGGATGCGCTAGCTATCGCCAAGAACTCCTTGAAACCATGGATACGATCCTGGCGGAGGGTAATCATAGTAGTGATGAGATGAAATTATTGATTGCTGAAATCAAGAAGAAATTGCAAACAGAAGAAGGTAATACAAATATTAATGGAGTCTGATGGTTTAGTTTTACACATAGTTCTTTCTCAGTAGTCTTACGGATAACCTCACATGACTGAGTATTTTCATATACCATAACTTCAATCTAAAGGTGATGGCGATTCTAGCAGCGATAACGACCATTTAGATACCCAAGATAATAGCGAAAGTAATGGAATAGATCTACAATCGATGCCTTCGTTGCTGGAATACTCAACTAGAGATACTGGTCTCTTCTGTAAGCATACCCATTACGATATATCATGTAGTTTGCTGTCAATATAGATGCAGAGGTGCCCAACGACCGGTGGCGTTCTATGTACAAACTTTATTTCAGTTACACTAATTTTGAATGAATTAAGTATTAGTTAAAAGATAGGCAAGTCGATTTATAGATGATACGGAACTTTGTGTTTTCATCATGTCAGAATAATATTTGCGCAATGCATAACATATACAAGCACACTAAAATTAAACTATAATATGATTTTGGTGATGAATGTTGTAATTTCTGTAGTCATATTTATGTAGTGATTATTATTTCATATATAAATTGATGGGCGTGTATAATTGATTTATTTATGTATCATTTCTAATTATGAAATAACTGACACTGTAGTTTAGTTGATAGTATTAATACGACTGTTACGAGAAGATAGTGGCATCATCACTATTGTTGCATGTGTCTTTATTATTGGTATAATATATTGTTTATTTCAGTTCCATTGTGAGTATATGTATGAGAAGATCCATGTATGCAGTAGCTTTTGTAGTGTTTAATTCCAGTCGCCGTTGTACGTTGCACATTCGACGGTCGTCTCACACTAGGCGATAGTCTTCTTGTAACACCGACGACCGTGACGAGTACCGGAGACCTGGACCTGCGTATGATTTAATCGGATTGGCCTATTGTTGAATAGATTCTGTGATAATAGTAGAATAGATGATACTATCGTATATACAAGTTTCATAAAGGAGAAGATATGTTAATATGTTTGCTATTCGTGATAAAATATACATTGTGTTTTTCCCGTTGACTATAAATGTCCTTTTGATTTATACAGGAAATGCCACATACATATGTATACATACAGCGTTTATTTGTCTGAAATTAAACTATAGTCAAGTAATTTTTAAGATCAGCAAAATATCTAGAACAAAAGTGTATTTGATTTGATTTGATTTGTGTGTCAGTAATGTTACATTATGATTGTCTCGGATTGATCGAAAACACATGCAGGATTATCCAAAATAATACGTTTTATAGATAATTTCACGCTCAACAAAGTAGCACGTATCCTGTATTTTGAAATTAATACGATATATTCTTCATTTACATTGTGTGTGCTGTTATACTTTTATTAAAGACCTATTTGCGTCTATTCCTACTATCCTAAAACGTTGTCAAACTCCATTTATGTATGGGTGTCTCAAAACAGCGTTTGCGACCGCAGTTGCGACTCGCCAAAGTGGTTGCAAAGGTGCTTTGCGACCTGAGAAAAGGCATTTTGCGACTTGTTCGCCAAAGTGGTAGCAAAGGTGCTTTGCGACCTGACACAAACGCTCTGTCTTCCAAACTATTTACTAATTAAAATTCCGTTATTTTCGGCAAATGTTTTATGTCGTTATATAAACTACTGAAAGCTGGTCAAGTTTCCACCGACAGTTGTAAATATTGTACGTGTAATATTGTTTCGCTGATTACAGATTTTCGATTATCTTTAATTAGCGAAACGAACCATTTGCTGATTAATATGTTATTTTCGGCAATTTTTTTATGTCGTTATTTATTCGCGAGTGTGCGTATTTTCGTAAAGTGGCGTAAACATTGTTACAGTCAACGATGCGCTGAACAGGAAGTCCATTCTGGGCTAGTGCCATTGTCAATTTTTGTACAGGGGACGCTCCAGTAAGAAATTGTTTCCTTATTTGTTATTTGCAGCGCATGCGCTTACGTTAGTGTTTATTTAAAAAATAATTGGATTTCCACGTTGTTTATTTGTTTACGAATATGATATTTCGTGACCGTAGCTAGCTTTTTTCATTGGAGCATCAAGAATAATGTTTTAGATTTCCAGAGTAATGTTTTATATGCATACTATATAATTTACGTTAATTGTATCATACATTAGAAAGTATAAATTTACAGTGGCCCCTCGCTAAGTCGCGGGTGTCGGGTGTATTTAGAACAAAAATCTTGCAGCTTCCATCTCTAATATTGCAAAACCGTCAGTTGTGAACTGAACTATTTAGCTCCCAGACTATTTTGTCATTTCCTTTGAAATATTCGGGAACAATTGTTCCGGTCTGGTACCTTCAAAGTGCGTCGTGTGGATTTATTGTTTCGAGAAGAAAAAAAGTAACCGCATTGTCAATCAGCAATAGCGTTAATTACGCGTAAATTTAAAACGTGAAACTTTTACAAGGCATTGTGGAAAATCTATTCAGTGGAAATACTACAAACTTTTGTTGTATAATCCTAGTGAACATATGTTTTAAACAAGTCAAACTTCCATTCGTTAAACCTATGCGTTCAGAAGTTAAATAGTTTTAAACACAATTTAACCCAAAACGGACATTTTCAACCCATTTTCGATACCGTTAGCAACCACAAACAATACATCATACTGTTGAAAAGCTGGCAAAATAAGCTTTCATACGGTATATAGCATGACAAAATTAACGTATTTGTTAGTAGTGTAATTTATTGTTTAAAATTCCTATAAATCAAGGTGCAGCGCCACCTTAAATCTCATTAGGATTTCCACATAAAGTTACACAGATCGAAAAAAATGCATTATTAAGATAAGAACAAATAATGATTTTTTGTCAAGGCTATATACTACATTCTCTTATTTTTGGGGCATGTTTGTGAGTGTACACGCATGCATTAAAATATATATACCCATCATTAAAAATATCAAAACGTCAAATGTAACCATAATACAAATGTAAAGTAAACAAAATTACCCAGAGCTGATCGAGAAATGCTGTGACATTGTCTAATTGGTTGTGGAATTGCCACGAAAGACGCTCATCGAGAAGTGTACGTCTTGTAAATATCACAATCACTATAACAATGCTGATTACTACGGTACATTACGATACATGATTGTTATTAGGCTAGCTAAAATGCGAATATGACGTTCCGGAACACAATAATTTAAATATTTTACAACAATCAGAACAATCTCTATGGAATTTCGAAATCAGTGCTACCTCGACGAACAGTTGTTCGCTGTACAGAAACTGAACGATGGTGGCGCACTTTATGCCGTGATGCATCTCTTCCAACACTGTCTTCGCTGGGGAATACTGGGATCTACATATGTATAGTTGATCTATGCGTTTGTCAGATAATTGAAAGTATTTTGCGAGATTTGTCCATTTCCGATACCCAACTGATCATAATCCAACATCATTACAAGAGAAGCCAATAAATCATCATTACGTAAAATATCGGTAAAAGTCCAAGTGCATTCTGGG